CTCCCTGACCAGGCGCCCCACGGTTCCCCGCCTCCCCGCCTCCCTCCCCGGCAGTGTCCTGACAGGGCGTGCTGTACCCACACTCCCGGCTGCTGCCCATGCTCCCCCTTCCTCGCCTCCGAGGATGAGCCTCGACGCGCCCGGCCGCCTCACCCCCAGGGAGGCCCGCCCCATGCCCCCCACTCGCCTCTGCGATGGCGGCGGCCACCCTTCTGCCCCCGCGAGCCCGCCTCGCCCACCACCCAGCCCGCGCCACTTGCCGCCTGCGGGCGCCCGGATGGGCCGTCCAGCCTGGGCCTGCTCCTGGCTCTCCCCACTCACCCAGGCGCTCAGCCAGCAGCCTGTCCCGAACCCGCCCTCCCGGGGCCCAGCCTCCTCCATCCCAGGGACAACGGGCACGGCCCCGCCCCTGGCTCCCCGAGGCCTTATCTTCAGGCGATGTTGGCCAGTGCCATGCTCAGGGCCCGGTGGGGCGCCCCAGTGGGCCAGCACCTCTGTCCCCAGGGCCAAGAAGCTGGGACTCCCTGTGCGTGCTGGGGGTGCGGAGGCCTCCGAGATGGGCCTGGGGAGCCTGGTGCTCACGTGCGGGAGGGGGCTGGATTTCTAGTCCCTCTGAGGACAGAACTGGGGCGCTGACCCGCCCCCCGGCCCTGCGCTCGACCTCTGCCCTGCCCCTCCGCCTTCCTGCTGCTGCCAGGTCGTGCCCAGCCCGGCCCGGCCTCGGCCTCATGCGCTGCGCCCCTAACGGCACCTTCTGTCACCTCGCTCCCTACCGTGCTCCTGCCTCTGCTCACCCGTCACCTCGGAAGCCTCTCGGCCGCTGTCTCTGAGGGGCCCCCACCCCAGCTTCTTCCCGGTGTTCGGGAAACTGCTCGGCACCGACCTGGCCTTAGTGAGTGCCGCCCCAGGGCCCACGGCCGGCGAGGTCCCTGTCCACGGCTGGCGCCAGCGTGGACAGGATGCGCAAGGGGAGGCTGCCATGGGGGCGGGGAACCCCTGAGACTGCCCGGAAGCTGGTGCCCAGGCCGGGCCCAGGCCGGTCACATCTGAGTCCCCACCCCCAGCCAGGTGACTCAGTGCAGCAGGGGCTGAGGACCCCTGGCCTGGATGGGGCCTGAGCTCCACGGGCCAGGGCTGGGGGGCCAGGGCTGGGGGCTGCGGAGGCCTCGAGGGAGGGAGCCCCAGGTAACGGTGACCGCGGGGCCCTCGAGGCCGTGGAGACGCGGTGGCTTCTCTCTGGGACGCAGGAATCGACCCCGCTCGACAGGAATCGCTCAGCCCAGGACGCGCCCTCCCCTCCCATAAGGAGCCGCATCTCGTTTGCCAGGCACTGGCTTTATCCTGACGCGGGCATGGCACACGGGAGGGGTCCCCCGGCCTGACCTCCCTGCCCCGTCTCCCCAGATCCCGCCCCCCGGCTCTCTGGCTCCTCCAGCTCCGTGGTTCCTGGCGTTCAGGACTCCGGGACGAAGGGCGGGTCGTGCGGGTCACGTGGGCATCGCCCCGGCAGGACAGAAGGCGGGCAGCTCTGGAGGTGACACCCGGTCAGCCCGCCTGGCGCTGTGGACCCAGCCCGTGTCCGGCGAGGCCAGCTGGGCAGAGCAGAGGCCGTGAGCCCTCTGCTCACATCTGCTCCTGGGGCAGCGTCACCCCCACCGTACGCCTGTTCTGCACCCCCTGCTGCCAACCAGGTCCTCCTGGGCTCCCGCTGGGCAGCCTCCCTACACCCCCTGACGTCCTGCCGGGCTCCCAAGGCCCGTGGCCCCCCACTGTGGCCCCCACCGTAGCCCCACCTGGGCCCGCTGGCCGGCCTGCTCACCGGCCCCTGCGCCGTGTGGCCTGTCCCCCACCACCCCGGCTGCCTCCTCCCCGTGATGGGGCTCACCTACTCCTCCGAGGCGTCTGGGGGGCGGGCTCGCCCGACCGTGGGCTCCGGGCTCACCTGGAAGAATGGGGTATGCCAGGGCCGAGGAGTCGGATAGAGCGCTTTCCTTTCTCGGGGACTCCACAACGGGACAGTGGGTGCCTGAGCCCCAGAAGGCACCGATGTGGGCTCAGTGGGATTTAGTGCAGACGAGGGCGGAAGGGAGAACTGGGCAGGGTCCTCGTGATGGCACCTGCCAGCCTCGGCTGGACGGGTGGGTGTGGGGAGGTGCTGATCGCCTGGGGCCTGCAGGCCACGGTGGCAGGGGGCTCCCCCAGGCAGGGCCCTCTCCCCGCCAAATGCACAGCAGGGGGTGAGGCCAGAGCCTCCCCCTCCCCTCCCCTGCCCCCTCCCCTCCCCTCTTGTCTCCCCCCCCCCCCCCCTCCTCCCCCCCCCCCCCCCCTCCCCATTATAAATTTATAACAGGAATTTCTCCACAAGCCAAGAAAAACTTGCCCCCCCCCCCGTCTGCCCTAATCACCCTCTCCATCCGTCTTGGCAGCACAGCCAGATGGACAGACGTGGCAAGGTCACTGGACAAAGCCTCCTGTGCACTCCAGGCACACAGAAGAGGGCGGGAGGGAAGATGAGAGGGAGAGACGGGAGTGGGGAGGAAGGGGGGCTGCTCTGAGGACCCCAGGAAGCCCGCAGCCTCCAGATCTGCAGCGACCAGCCTCTGAGGGACTCTGTCTCCCCAGCCCGCACCCAGGGGGCTGATGCAGGGATTGCTGTGGGCCACACAGAGTGACCAGCCCCAGACCCCGCCCAAGCCAGTACCTCTGTCCTCAGAGCGGGGAAGACCGGCCTCGCTGTGCATGCTGGGGGGTGCGGGGGCCTCCAAGATGGGCCTGGGGGGCCTGGTGCTCACGTGCGGGAAGGGGCTGGACTTCAGCAGGTATACTGGGGGCGCAAATCAGCAGGGCTGGGTGGGCGGGACCCGCCTTGCCTCCCCTGGCTCACGGCACGTGGCCGAGGAGAATGGCCGCGCAGGGCTCTGTCCGGCCAGACCAATGTGGGGTTGTCGGGGCCTCGCCAGGAGGCCGGGCCACTCACTCTGAATGGCGGACTCGCAGGCCTGGCTCACGAGCTGATAGATGGTGGCCAGGGACTGTGGCTCGCCCTGCAAGGGGAGACAGGCCACATGGCCCAGCACAGTGACCAGCCTGTACCGGTAGGTGTGGGGGCTGGTGCCGGCCCGGTGCCCCCGGGAAGTACCTGGACCCCGACACTGGACACTCACCTTCTCTCCTCGCTCCCCTTTGGGCCCCGGCAGCCCCTGTGCAGGAGGAAAAGGAGAAACCGAGTCAGCAGAGAGACGCGAACCCGAGCAGAAGCGCCTGGACCCCCCCGCCCACCCCCGCCGGTCT